ATTATACAGAACAAATTGTGTCTGAGTTTGTTTTGTTTTATTCATTGTGTGTAGTAGAAAAGATAGTGATGAGATGAATAAAATATCCAGTTTTGCTGTGATATTATATATGGGAAATGAAAAAAAATGATTGGGCCTTAGAATTTGGAAGATATGCCTAGTCATTGACTGACCTCCAATCATCATAATCTCTACTTGATTACGTAATATATACTCTTATAATTTATTTGAATTATGTTTTTAACGTTTGTATTTATATCCACGTAAATGTTATGACCATTGTTTTAATAGGCGGAGGCACAAGGAGAGGTGTATAAACTATAATGTCTTAATTGTCAAACAATTAAAAACTGCAATTCTGTAAATATATTATCAAAATATACAGTTTACCTCCCTAAAAGTAAATAACCAATAACTATATCAATATTATAATTTAAAATATTAGTCCTTCGTAAATAACTATAAATTTGCTTTCAAATAGAAAAATAATAAAAGACCGATAAGCTTGAGAGACATAGAACTAAGATATGAAAATCAATAGCAAGTGAAAATACAAACTTCATAAAAGAAATTAATGATATTCACCATGATGATGATTTCAATTAGTAAATTTATAATATTATGCCTCGTTATTTGAGTTATTCTCAATCTTCATATTTTTATAAATGAAAATAGAATATTTATCATTCATTTGTTAAAGAATTTTGAGGGTCAAATTCGTATGAACCTATTATTTTTTAAAATACGTATGAACCTATTATTTCTAAAAAATGGAGTCCCCTAAATTTGGGGGCTAAGGCACTAGCCTGACTTGTGATAAGGTTAGAGCCGGCCCTAACTCTAAGTATTAGAAATTTTAAAATATTTACACAATCAATTACTAGTAAGAAATTTAAGAGTAAATATTTATAATAAATATTAATTTGTAACATGTTAAAGTCTTATAGATGGTAACTAAATCTTTTCTTTTTTCCACAAGATAGTAACTAATCTACTGTGACACTTTAAAAGTACAACAGTAATGTATAAAACTATTTATAACGTGAATATAACTCAAATCCACGTATTTAAAGTGAAAAGGTCTTGCTACAAACCCGCATGTTTGTTTGGATCTTTTTTCGCTTTGTCTTGTTCTATCTTCCTCATTTTCTTTTCTATTTCTTTTATTGTTCATATTTGATGAGAACTACTAAAAATCTCTAATTGTTTTACAAAATTTTAATTTTTTCTGTTTACATGTTGACTTGATTTAACGGGTTGAGTTCAAAATAATTTATCAAATTATTGGGTCAAAATGGGCACAACAGTGTGACTTAACAGTCAAAATGCAATCCAAATCCAATCATACAAAATCAAATTTGGAAATTGAAAATGATGTGAACTTTGGAAGAACTTAAGCAGAGAAATTTAAGAAAAAATATATTAATTTTCACTTCTTCATTTTCAAAAGAAATAGTAACTAAATAAAAGAGGAGGGGGGATAGGTCATGTTGGGAAGGTTAAGTTATAACCCGCTATTCGACTCATTTTGAACCTTCTATTTTTATCTAAGCAAAGTTTGGGCAAAGATTTAAGCTATATACTCATAAAGTTTAAAGATTTTTCACACTATCAGCCTAGTTTAACCTATTATAATAGGTTGATTACTATTTTTATCATGCTATCAAATAATTATGAAAATTTAGCTTTAGTTACTTTATAAGTAATTGAATAAAACTTTTATCCCGTTAGTGCATAAAACTTAAACTAATACTATAGGTGAAAAGCTGATCATTTAACTCCACTAAAGTAGAACGGAAGATCAAATAGTCTTCCCTTAATACAAAGTTTTATTTCTTCTACATTCTCAATATAGTTTCAAATAGGGATTGCAAACGGACGGGTCAGATCGGATATAGACGGGTCAAGTAGTTTAAATTACCATTTTTATCATGCTATCAAATAATTATGAAATATTTAGCATCATTTAGCTCCACTAAAGTAGAACGGAGGGTCAAATAGTCTTCCCTTAATATAAAGCTTTATTTCTTCTACATTCTCAATATAGTTTCAAATAGGGGTGGCAAACTGGCGGGTCAGATTGGATATGGGCGGGTTGAAAAGGGTAATGCAAAAGAGGATAAATTATCTGACCCGACTCATAAAGGTTAACCGGCAGATAATATGAATATTCATATTATCCATGACTTCTTGAATATGATCACTTTTGAAAGCATTCCTAGTCTCTCAAGCTTGAGGAACCCCCAAATTTGAGGCTTTACAAATGTTTTCGTTCCTATACACTATTTGAAACTTATTTATCAAAATTGTTCTAATTTTGTATATTATCCGCCATAAACAAGAATTACTTACAAATTATATACATTCTACCTTAAAAGGCTCGCAATCCATTATTAGTGCCTTCAATCAAGGGATTTAGTTACACCCTTTTTATTTTTCTTCTCCTCTCTCCCCTCTATATTCAATTATGAAAACGGCCTAGTTGGATGAGAAGATTCCTCAATTGGTCTCAGCTCCCAGCTGTTCCCTGTTATTGCCATGAAAGTAGGATGTAATTCAATTTGATTGAAGAAATCCTAGCTAGGTCACAATTAACAATTCCTATAATAAAATAAAAAAAATAACAGATATCCATCAAAACAAGGAGAACCAATGCTATAACATCAAAATAGTTTCACATACATACTATTGAACAGAAAAGGCATGTCTCGTCAATTAAAGATTGTTCTAAATTTGATTAATCGGGTGCAGATCTGCCGATCACCATCAAAAAGGGAATATTATGTTCATATATTGACAGAATACACTAATTCGCATAAGTTTAAATGTCTTCAACAAACGACTGTCAATATGGGAATAAGATGAACCATCAATTTAGTCAATAATTTTATCAGAAATAACGGGCATTGTCACACATGAACATAGTATAAACGAGGCATAGTAAGCATAGTAAGAAGGTAATACTCTAAAAGCAGGCGACGGAAAACCTACATCGAATGTTGCTGCTGAACAAAATTTAGTATCTCCTCGGACTTCAGAGTTGATAAAATCAACTGAGAAAAGAACAATATATGGTACATCAAAATATAAATTAAAAATAAATTTCGTACAAATTTAATACAAATTTGAATATCTACAACAACATACATAGTATTCATACAACTAATTATATATTATACAACTTATCTACAACTTTCATACATTATTTCTACCCAATTAAATACAACTGCAATATCATACAAGTTAAAAATAATTTTTATATGAATTTTATACAATATGTCTTTTGTATATATTTGGTATCTGATTTGTATATATTTTGTCCGTGGTGTGTGCTTTTTCCTCTCTAAAATTCCAATCAAAACTTACTCTCTTAATACAATTTTGATACATATCAATAACTTTATGTAAAAAGACAGTATTGATAACTTAAATACAAATTTTATACAACGATTCATACATTATATAATTATTTTTCAACTTTCATACAATATTCAAATAAAAAATATATATATAACTACAACAGAATACAATTATAATACAACTTTACTACAATTTCGTAAGTATATTGTATGTCATGTGTTCTTCTTCTTCTTCTTCGAGTTTCAATCTGAAATTCAGCCAAAATCAAGTCTAATCTTCACCAAAACAACCTCAAAATTGAGATATAAACTCCAAATAATATTCTCAATTGTTTGTAATAACACACATTCCAAACAAATAACGGTTTTTAAAAACCCAAATTCGATTTCAAAGCTTTTTATTGACTGTCAATGGTGGAGAGTCAAACACCTTCAAAATTTATTGATTGACAATTTCAATTTGAACACCAATTGTGCAACATGAAAGGAAATGGCTAAGTTAAAACGATTGAAATCCATTGATGAATTCCATTAAAACTCTATACAATAAGAAAGCATAAAAACAGTGAACATCAAATGAAGAAAAAATGGGGGAAAAAAACAGATAAGGAGAGTAGATAGACGGAGAGAGAGAGAGAGAGAGAGAGAGAGAGAGAGAGAGAGAGTGGGCAAGTATAAAGGGATAAGTAAATAACTGATATTTCTTATTCAATTCCTAATATAAAGGGATACTCATTTAAAACTTATTTGTATATAATTGGTAAATTATATATGACCATGTAATTAATTTAAAACTTAAGTAGGGAGGGTAATAAAGTTTCAAATAGTGTATAGGAACGTAAAAATCCTTAAGTTAAACTCATTAGTTATCCATTGATTATCCATTTTCTAAGTAGATAATATGGTTCTTATTCATATTTGACCCGTTTTTAAAAAATTTATTATCCAACCCATTTTCTAATGGATAATATGGGTGAATAACTTTTTTCTTTTAACCATTTTATCACCACTACCTGTGTATGTCACTTGAAATCTGCATCTTTCTTTAATGGCAGAATACATCGACAACTCTTTAAATTTATCCACACTTTTTACTTCGATACTCTATCTTAAGTCTGTTCCATTTGAACACTTCAATAACATCTCAAATGTGTCATTTAAACACAATGTGCTGACATGGCAAAGCAAGTGTTTCTCACATTTCTGTCGCGCGTGAAAATCATCCAAAAAGCATACTCCACATACTTCTTGCCTGAAAATTTTCCGTTGAACTTTTCTTTTTCATTTTTCAGATCTGTGGCCCCATATCTTCACCTTCTTCCTCAAACTCCTTCAATATTTTCACACCCAAACGCCGACCAATCCAACCAAACTATCTATTGAAATTGTGGCCAACAAGTTTTTTCAAAACAAAATCAGCAAATCCAGATTGAAAATTAACATCAAGATTTCTCTTTGTAATTTTGAACAAAAGCAAAAGAACTGGGTTAAGATTATCGGGTGTGAATTTTCATTCAACCTTTACAAAAGGTGATTTTGAGCAGCCATTCAAGAACTTTCCTGTCTGAGATTATCATCGATGGTAAGAACATGGACTTCTTTAGAATTCATAGGTGCGCACAAATTCAAATTCCTCCATCTTCACTTCCCTCGACCTCCGTGAAACTTTGTTCCTTGCCATGTCTTCCAATCACAAGTTTCCTTTTGAACTTGAAAAACAAACTCAACCTAAAAATATGTTTTGGAAGAACAAGTGGGAAAACAGAATTCTTTCAAGTTTTTGCAACACACAGTAAAAGTCATAATAATTTCTTTGCTATTTTCAGAAAACTGCCATTAGGACAAGTTTTAAAGAATTAATATAGCAAAAACGGGTGGGATGGGGGAGAAGAAGCAGCAGCATGGGGAGGGGAGGGGAGGGATAGGATTTGTCGGAGAAGAATTGTATCGAGGAGGGGAGAGGGTTTTCTGCTATTTTTGTTTTCTTTTTTAATTACAATTGTCATTTATTAAGAAAGTTACACGTGTCAGTCATTTATTTGTTCATTTGACACGTACAAGCGTGTGAATGGCACACATCTTTGTATTTTGGTTGCCTATCAATTTTGTGTCTAAATGACACATTTAAGATGTGGTTGGAGTGTTCAAATGGGACAGACTTAAAATGGAGTGTCTAAGTGAAAAGTGTGGACAAGTTTAAGAGGTTGTCGATATATTCTGCCTTCTTTAATCATAGATATCTATGGCTAAAGCATGATGCAGGACTTATAGCATGTTTGGCCAAATCGGAGAAATCAACTTATTTTGAGAAGTGCTTTTGAAAAAAGAACTTTTGGAGAAAAACAGTTTATGTTTGGCTAATCACTTGAAAAGCACTTTTGAGCAATAATTTGTGTTTGGCCACTTTTCAGAAAGTGCTTTTAAGTATCAAATTACGAATAAAGACATGAATAGATTTACTTAATAGTTAATATTAAAAGTAAATAAATAATATTTAAAAATTTGTTATGATAGGCAATAATTAAATCTTTTTATTTTATTTAAGTAAAATATAAAAATAAAATTTAAAAGTACTTATTTCTTTTAATATAAGTTAAATATATTAAAAATCATTCAACAAATATAAAAGCATTCACCCCTAAAGTCACTATATATTAGAAAGTTATCCTAAAAATAATAAGAAATATTTATACATTAATATCCTAAGTATTATGTTTAACAGTTATTTTGGTATATACTATATTTTGTTAAGGGTATTTTTGGTAAGAAGAAAAGTCAAAACTGCTTCTGCTTCTGCTTTTGGGAAGAAGCTACTTTTTCTGCTTCTTAGAAATTGTTTTTGCTTCTTCCCAAAAGCACTTTTTTCCACCAAAAAAGCTTGGCCAAACATCAAGTTAGGGGGAAAAAGTACTTTTGAGAAAGAAAAAAAAAAGTAATTTTGACCTCTTGAGAAGCTTGGTCAAACAGGCTATTAATCTGGGAAGATGCAATCAAGAGTTTTTATTCCTGACGTACTTAAGCTAAGTCATGTACTTATGAATTATTATTTTTAGAAATTACTTAGTATTTTCCTATGTATCAGAAAAATAGAAAAAAAATAGACATTGTATCTATTAGGGGTGTCAACGGGTATTTAAAAATCGACTAAACCGACCGAACCGTACCATACCGAACCGATTTTTAGTTTTTTTCAATAAAACCGTAGGTTTTATATAAATCTATCATCGTACCGATAATTAGGTTAGGCTTTTTAATTTTATGAAAATAAAATGAAAAAATATCGAACCGTACCAAATAAATTTACATGTGGAAAATATATTTATATATTAAGTTTAAAAATAATAATGCATTAAATTTTTCTTTCGAATTGGAATTATGAATATGGCTACAAGCAAACAAGTAATTAAAATCAAAATCCTAATTCCCAAGCCTATTTTGCTACTCCTACTGAAACTAAATTATTTCCAGCATATTCACTAGCAAGACACAAAGTATTTTAGCGATTATGAGTAGCAAACTATAATGTATTGAACATGTTTCCTTTCGTATGATTTAGATTTATCTTTTTGAATATTTAATCTTCTATAGACTTTATTTTTGAGTCCCAACTTGGTTAATATCTTTCTACTCGTGTAATTTATCTTTTCTTTGTATTTGCTTAGTTTCTTTTATGTTGTTGTAGAGTAGTTGATGGATCTATACCCTAGCCATCTTTCATATTTTCTTAATTTATGATGAATTTCAAGACCATACACTGCAGCTAATGCTACTAACATCCGTATGGACGTAATTCTTGTAACTGGAGAGTATGTATCAAAGTAGTCTAGACCTTCTCGTTGTCTATACCCTTTGACTA